GAGAAAGAGGGAACAGGAAGTACTGCCGAGCAAGAGGAAGAGGTTTTGTTAGACTCAAATCTGGTTCTCATTCCAAAGGGCCACGTGTATCGAAAGCATTGCATGCACACAACACACATACAATGGAACGCACTCACATGCGATAACATTGCAATAGCAAAAATATAATTTCTTTCGGAGAGGATGCAACTGTTGGGTCACAATCCGTTTCACCCTTCCTCTGCAGCCACTCACCTTTTTAACAAACGAAATCATTTAGTGGGCAAAGTTGGGCCATAAAATGAGGGTAGAATTGCAGCCGGCCACCTTTCTTGGCTTGGTTTCTTGGCGAATTATTGTAAAGCACAGTGTTCTGTCTTCAGGGTGTCTGTCCAACGACGGACGAAAGCTCAGCAAGGATTCATCGTGGTCGCGGAACGGTGATTCGAGGACTTATCCTCATAAATCTACAGTCAAATCCTCATGAAATTCCTTCATTAGTTTTCGATGAGGCCGACATACGAAGGCTTTCCATTCACCTCTTCAAGCGAAATGAAAGATACTTCATCATCAAGTATAAGGTGAAAATGTTCCGACCAACAAATTCATGATTGTTAGGAGCGATAACTGTGATAATATCTTAATACTCAACGTAGCATATACTTTCCTCATACACATGTCCAGTATTTTAGCATGTAAATAGAAAATGTAGATGAAGAATAAGGTTAGGACATAAATCCAAATCGCTGCACACAATTGGACTGGTTGCATTACGGACCAGCAGAAGTTGCTTTTTTTTAAATTAAAAATTGAAAAATATCATAAAAACATGGAAAATCAATGTTATGTTGAACAAATTATGAATGAAAGCCCTGATAATACAGTTAGATTTCGATTTTTTACTTTTCATTTAAAGTGTAGATAAAATACAAATATAATAAAAATAAGCTGTGAAACAAATAAAAAATAAACCATCAAAAGATTTAACACTATTGTCAATATATATATAAGATATAGACCAACTAAACGGCCAAATACGCCGTGAATGAAAGTATGGCCTACATTAACTAAAGAAATAAATCTCTGCAGAACCGAAAAAAATGATATGATTTGGCATTCGAAGCAAGTAAACCAGTGGATTCCCAACTGGATAAGAAATCTCTGCGTTGTCATGATGTACAATAAAAGAAGCCAGAGAGCAAGAGAGAGGAGAAAAGAACTTAAAGTTTAAAGTAGTAAAATAAGGTGAAGATGCATCAGATCCCGTATAATGACAAGATGGTATAAATCATAAGGCTTAATCTCGGCCGCCTCGGTACTTGATGATAATCATAGTACAAAGGATGATAGAGGCATCAATGCTGGAGAAAAAGCTGATTATGCTGGTGACCATAAAGATTCTGCTGTCGTTATGGCCAGATTAAACTGACAATTTGCGACAGAAGCATTCAGCCTAAGAGACAAAAAATTCGAACATGTTTGTATGTACAGTAAATGTCAAGTCCCTAATAAATGCTGATTAGGCCTTTGCTTTCCGCCGAGCGGTAGAGAATTTTACAGGAGCCTCTGCAGACTTTTTAATTTTTTGATCTTTATTTCTCACTTGATGCGCCAAACTGGCCTTTTTAGAGGCCTCCGAAGCATCATTAGTCTTGCTTTTATTTGGCTCAGAATGGCCCGTCTCTGTCAGCCGATTGAACCAGGACTTGGGACAACTCGTTTTAGACCTCACGAAAGCCATCACGGCCGGCTGGATTTTCTCTTTCGGCGGAGTAAATGTTCCGCCAAGGCTAAGGCAGACGACGAAGCCGGACTCGATACTTTCTCGCAGACCCGGTGCATGCCAAAGCGGCTGGGCTTCAGCTGAGCAAGTGATGGAAGTGTCCTCATTCGGCGTGGCAGCTACGTCATGACCAAAATAAAATGCATTTAAAATGCAAAATTCATAAATGTTTTTAGTTGAAAAATAAAACATTTGTAATGACCCCAAAAGACAGAGGATATGTTTCTGACGCTTTGTCTGCGGTCGAAGTGAGTTGATAATGAGAATAGAATATAAGGTCAGATTTCCCAGAATTAAAAGCTAACTATTTAAGTTGGGTTTTCTTTCCATTTCACTAAGAGGATGAAACTGCTAGTCATGGTGTTGTGTGTTTAGGTTCGTTTAAAAAACGGATATAAGCGATTCTTAATTTAGCCTCGCCTCTAACTGTCAATGACCACGACAAGGACTTTTAGAAAAAACTTTCATGAACAACTTCTTAAAAAAAATTTCATTTTACAGTGAGGCTAATTCAGCAAGTAATTTTACTCGTCTAACATGCTCAGTTCACTTAACCCCAAAAATTAGTAAAAATTTATCGTAGATACGAAGAATAACTTGAGCTTGATTCATCTCCTGGGGAGACTTTCATCTCGTATGAAAGTGCATGAAGAGACGATTCGTAGGTTGACCTAATCAGGAGACGATGGCCTTAACAAGACGTAATCCACAAAGCATCCTTCCTCGTTTCGGATGTAAACGAGCTGAGCCTTCGTCCATCATGTGATGGACATCATCGCAACTGGAACTCATTATTGTAAATGTTTCACGTTAATACTAGGCCAAGAAGATATTGCCTCTCATATAGACTAGTAACTACAGACGTAAATGAATGTCAGGTTTTATGAACAGACTCGAACAAAAGTAGCATGACCAATATGAAAGATAATTAGCTAAACCATTCAATATCTGTCTATGCCTATCCATTTTCATTTTTAGTTATGAGTCTATGTAAGAGGTAAGATGGAACCGGATAGTCTTCTTGATCGAGTGTCAACGTGGGACTTTTACAAGAATGCGTTCCAGCTCTGATGTTGTACATCGAATGATGGGCGAAAGCGAGGGTGGATGTCGCGTGAACTGCGTCAACTAGAACGTATTGGGGCCGAATGTCTGCACTACAACGGGACTCAGTCGTTGTCTTTTATGGTGAGATCGACGTACGAATCACTTCTGCATGCAATTTCATATGAAAGGAAAGTTTCTTCAATAAATCTATTTATTAAGTGTATCAAGGGCAAATTGCTCTTCTATCAGTCCTTCATCACCTTAAACGAAATTGGCTGAATACATCTCATACTACTGATTTACTGATAGTCACGAAAACCATACTTAATTCGAAAAATAAAGTAAACTAGTCGATTGTTATAGCAAAAATACATTTGCTTCATCGACAATCCCAGCTGAATGAGAATAACTTTTGGGAAGGCAAGGCCATGTTAAATCGAATGGAAACGTCAGCTCAACTCATATCATTGTGGGAAAATTCTACTATCAGTCATTCATAAGCTTAGACGAAATAGGGTGAATACATCTCATAGTACTGATTTACTGGTAGTCTCGAAACTATACTCTAATACGAAAATATGGTTAAATGGTAGCCTCAACCGCCTTAGGTTGCATAAACTGTGGAAGGACTGATATTTGATTTTTCCGACAATTACACGAACAGGCTTAACGATACCATTGGATACAACTTGGCTTTGACCCAAAATGGTATTATTAATGTAATTTTCACCTCGCCTGTGTCTCATTAGGTACTCCAGCCAGATGAGAAGCGGGGTGTAGAGCGCGTAAAATGACTACTTTGCTACATAACCACGGGCAATAATTGTTCATAGGGCAGATGCAATTGCCAAGGCAAGCTTGGCCCTTCCCACACCACATTTATCGAAAAGGCAGACTTACATTCATCCGTACCTTCGACTACACCACAAAATTCATAATTAGTCAGTTTCTATGCGCCCACTAAGCACCGTAGACACTAAAGATCGCATCTGTTGATGACGAATTGGTAAAGAACCATTCCAAAAGTCAAGTTACGTTCATGTCTGGACGATAATACATTTTAAGAGCAATGGCTCAATTAAATTCAACAGTAAAATCATATAAGTGAGAAAATTTTAATATCAGTTCTTTATCAACTTAAGCGACCTGATTGATTACAGTTATTATTAAAAATCTACTGATAGTATCCTATCGTAATCATTATAAATAAAAGTTCTCATTATAGCATAATAAGGGCTGTTTTCTCCGTCAGATCTCTAATCTCTTTATTTATCAGGTCATGGTTGTCTGACACCGTTTTATATGCGAATAAATGTTGGGTTTCGAGGAATCTCTTGTTTCATAATTGTTAAGCTTACTTTCATTACGCATGAATGTATGTAGAAAGGAGGAGATTGCCGAAAACAGGCGTTCCTTTTTGTTGTTCTAATTACTTTGAGACATCACTGTGGGTTTCGTGCATAAGCGAACACAAACAGGCATATACACATACAGAGACAGACACACTCACAGGCATTGAAGTTGACATATGACCTTAACTAACCAAATCGCTTTATACTTGATCAAAAAGTATACCACTTTTATGGGTTTCGCCGGTGAGTTTTCTTGACTCGTTAGCTTGAATTTTGTTGTGACGATGTTACCTCGCTGTGATGATGTCCGTCATATGACGCACGAAAGCTTAGCACCTTTTCACCGGAATCGAAGAAGATTGCCTCGG